AAAAAAAAAATGGGGGAGGAGAAAGAGTGAGGAAACGGGGTGGGGCGACCTGCGGGCGGGGCCGGCCGCATTCCTCCGCCTCTGAGCTGGGCGCCGGGGCCAGCTCCTCTGGTCCTGACCCCGCGGGGCACCTGCCTGGGGCCGCGCGCCTCCGTGCCGCCTCCGTGCCTCCGGCAGTCGGGGTTTTGGAGGGAGACTTTCGGGCGGAGGGTGGCATTAGCGGGACAAACTCTCCAAGAAGTCAAGGGTGAGGGAACCTTAAGAACAAAGGAGCAAATAACAAGATCACTGTAGTTCTAGTAATTCATCTGAATTACACATAAAGTTTAATTCCACTGTTTTCACCTGGAATTCCAAATAAACCCGGAAGCATTTCCTACTGTTCTCACGATGGTTTTGTGGCTTTGACAGAAAAATGCAATGAATTTTAAGTATATTATTTATATTCTTGAGGCTCTCTACATCAATGAGATATTTAAGTGTTTCATTCAATCCTCATAGAAACTCACTGAAGTGAGTGTTATGTCCTTATTTTCACAGATGAGGAAACTGAGGCACAGAAAAATTAAATTACTTATCTATGGTCATCTCAGGGAAGTGGAAAAGGTAGAATTTGAACTGTGGCAGTTTGGTTTACAGAATTGACCCTCCCACTGGCAAGGCTGTGACATCTCTGGTACACTGGTACCCTAAAAAGGTTAGTAAATGATAGTAACTGTGGTTGGGTAATGTACTTGTTTTGGTTAATCTGTTTCACAAATCATGCAAGGTTGAATCCGTCTTTTTTTAGGAAGTTGAGAAATAGCTCTCTAATGTGATCACATCCTTCTCTTCTCCCCATCCCTTCCACACAGTCCAAATGCACCAGGAAAGCAAAAGTGGTACAATTCTCAGCAAACAATAGTTGCTTAGTACATGTTGAATGGAACCAAACAGGAAGTTAACAACATCAGTTAAGAATATGAAGTAGAATCCCTGGCCAGTCGGGCTCAGTGGATAGAGCATCGGCCTGTGGACTGAAAGGTCCTGGGTTCCATTCCAGTCAGGGGCACATGCCCAAGTTGTAGGCTCTATCAATGGTTTTCTCTCATCATTGATGTTTCTATCTCTCTCTCCTCCTTTCCCTTCCTCTCTGAAATAAATAAAGAACATGAACTAAATGTTTAAGAATAAGTGATTTATTTGCAAAGGTGGTAATTGCTATTCTCGAACCAATTATGTCACTTTTTCCTACATTAGAATTGATCGGGGTAATTTATAAAATGCAAATAATTTGGTCCTCAGCTCAGACCTCCTGAATCAGAATCTTAAGGGTGGAAACCAAGAACTATTTAGCATTTTAAATATCACTCTCCAGGAGACTCTCTTGGTCCTTCCTTCCCTTTCCTCCCAAACTCACCACAGCATGGAGACCACTGACTTACTTGGGAAGACCTCCTGGTTACTTGGACTATAAACCACCTTTGCAGGAAGTGGGAATGTGGAGGCCAAGGTGCAATGGATGGGTTTCCACTTATTCAACCCTGTAGGCTTAGGAGAGTTGGAGCTCTTTAAGGAATATAAAGGCTATACTTGAATGGTACCTACCTGGAGAGAAGGAAGGTGTCTCTGGGTCTGGTCTGAATTGCTCCTTTCCATACAGATAGGTGGACCTGGAAGAGTAAGGTTTCCATCTTTCACCTAGGAACCCTCCTGCCATCAGTGACCCTTAACCACCTGCTGCTTGAAGTCTCAGTGTCTGGGCTGGACTAATGCAGGGTGTGGTGCTGGAGCCAAAAGGGCAAAGCTAAGAGGTAAGGACAACTAGAGCAGCAGAAGCTTCCTTTAGGAACAAGGTCTTCTGTTTTCCACCCCCAGGGTTTAAGTAAAAGCCGTTGACAACCTTCTTTCCCGTTTCATGCATATTTACAGAAACATTTTGAATCAATTAAGAACATTTTGAGGTTGCTACAATCTACTCTTTGTGTCTTTTGCTTTTACTTTCAGGACAGTCGAGTATGTTTATAATATTTTTAGCTAAAGAGGATGACTATGAAATAGGTTGAACTATCACAAATAACATTTTGAAATGCCACCCCAAATTAAAGTGCAGTGATTCTATAACATGCTTAATAACTGAACAGAAGATCTGCATTATTTTCCAAGGAATCATGTCAGAGAACATGAATTAATTGTAGGAACTGATTCATGAATAGTGGTCTTATTAGAGCACATGAATCAGGAATGTTTAGTATACGGTCCTAACTTTTTATAATATCATCTTTCCTTAACCCATAACCAGGCAAAAAAATCTTATAAATGACTGGGAACCACAGAAAGATGAAAACTTGTAGTTTAATGCTTCTTTTTTTAAAAATATATTTTATTGATTTTTTACAGAGAGGAAGGGAGAGAGATAGAGAGTTAGAAACATCGATGAGAGAGAAACATCGATCAGCCGCCTCCTGCACATCTCTTACCGGGGATGTGCCCGCAACCCAAGTACATGCCCTTGACCGGAATCGAACCCGGGACCTTTCAGTCTGCAGGCCGACGCTCTATCCACTGAGCCAAACTGGTTTCGGTAGTTTAATGCTTCTAACAGAAAATAATTTCAAAGCATATTGTTCAGAAGTCTTTACTAGGAGGAGATAATTGTAACTATAGGCTGTGCAGTACTATATTCTTTTTTTTTTAAAATTCTCACTCAAGGATATGCTTATTAATTTTTAGAGAGAGGGGACGGAGGAGAGAGGGAAACATCTATGTGAGAGAGAACATGGATTGTTTGCCTTCCAACCCCGACTGGCAATCAAACTTTAAACCTTTTGGTATATGGGATGACGGCTCCAGCCAACTGAGCCACACCGGCCAGGGCTGCAGTACTATATTCTTATTGGGATAACTGCATTGTTGGCATGTGGGCTGCTTTATAACAAAACATTTTTTGTTTTCACTAGGACTTTTTTTTTCTCTAAAATCTACGTTCAACGTGTTTTTTAAATAAAATTTACCAACACCACCAGTAGGGCAGATTTATACCTATCAAGTAAATGCAAAAAAGAATCAGTGTACTAATGAAAATATATTATAAAAGATTCATATTAAAACTAAAATGTTTGGGTTTCAGAAATAGAAGTGAAAATATTTTACTCTAAATTAGAAAAATTGTCTTGATTTCAGAGTTCCAAGTAATAATTTTTCATTATTTACCAGTTGTCAAAATCTGAATATTCTCCCGTATTTCTCATATTATCATTTTTTTATTCATCATCTTCATTCCATATTCCCTGTCTGAGTGAATCACACACCACCCATTCAGTTGCTTTATTGACATACCTAGGAATCATCCTTACATGTTGCGTTAATTGACATTACCAATAGCGACCCACTGCCCAGTTTTCCTGAGGTTGCTCTGCACTGAGCTTTAGTTAGGTATGAGAGCAAGGCTTCTGAACATTTAATGTACACACAAGTGGCCTGGGGTATCTTGTTAAAATGCAGATTTTTGGGGTGGATCTCTCAGGCTGTGGACCAACTTTGAATAGTGAGGTGTTTGAACATTCTGGATTTTAAGGCTTTGAAGACAGTGGATAGACATATCTGTTGAAGTGAGACAAATGTTTCAGACTTTAATTTTTAAATTTCCCCCCATGAAATTTGAACTATCAGAATTTCTGAACCCTACAAGAAAGATTTACATTAAAAAAACTATTCTACATGAGTACCCATAACTCTTAACCTTTTAAACCTGTGCTAAGTGGGTATATTCAGCATGTTTGGTCCAAAATTAAATTGGCTTTGGAATGCATTATGTAACTTTTTGGCAGCATAGTTACCTTCCTAATTATGTTTTAAGATAATGCTGAAATCAGTTTGCATTCCCTTGAGCACACACACTAAATGATGGTGGGAACAACTGACCTGGAAATACACTCCAGAGCAGAGGACAATCTGCTGGCCTAAAATGCAAACAGTTCCCATGGATAGTGCATGAAACAGATAAACCACAATTGGCCAGACACAGGAACTAACTGGTAAACTAATGACTTAAACTTTTACACTTAAGAACACACAAAATCTGTACCCATAATTGTCCCCAGTCATCACCACCCTGTCCAATTCTAATCAGAAGCTTAGTTTCAAGAAGTATTACCCTTGGAGGCCTAAAGTAGCTCATTCTTCAATTGAGAGCTGAAGTCACAAACTCCACAAATTGCAGGGGCCTTGTCACTAGTTACATTGCCT